TTTGAGAAATGTCTGTTAATTTTAGGTGCCCAGTTTTAGATTGGATCTTTAAATTTAGGGCTATGATTTTTCTGAGCTCTTTATATAGCCTAGCTATTAGGTCTGAGGGACAGCTGGCAAAAAATTTTACCCATTCTGTGGGTTGTATCTTCACTCTGTTGATGATTTTTTTTTTTTTTTTTGGCTAGGTCCATTTTTACTATTCAACAGTTGATAAATGAATAAGATTAGTAGACAGAAGCCACTGAATCTGAAAGCTATTGTTCAGTGAAGAGAGGCAAAACAACCAGAGCACAAACTCTCACTTGGACCTGTGTGTGTTGAAAGATTCAATCCAAGAGGAAGTTGTCTGTAAAAAGCCTATTTTTCCACCACCAGATGACATTTTAGTGTTATCTACATTTGTGTATTCTGAATGCGTATTTCAGAGAACACTGACATTTGCAGTGTTGCATATTAATGTCAGTATTTATTTGAAGTTAATAATTCGAAAAGTTCTTATGCCTTGACATTTTAGATTTTAGCTAATCCCCTGGATTTACTTCTCTTTGTGGGAAAAATAAAAACAGTACTTTCCTTGGACAGTTATTAGAAGTACATGTTTTGACTTTTGGCACTTAGAATTTTAATTATTTTAAACTCTGGAGGAATGGGAAAATCTGAAGTAGAATGTGTAAGGATCACTAGATCTGAACTTTTCCTTAAAAAAGAAAAGGAACAAGCCAAGTGTGGGTACATGCCTGTACTGTAACCCTAACACTCAAGAAGCTGAGGCAAGAGGATCACCAAGAAGTTCTAGGCTAGCTGGGAAGACTTACTGAAGACAGAGCCAGTCTGAACGTCTTAGTGAGACCCTGTCTCAAAAAACAGAACAAAAAGTCACCAATAATTCATCAGATTTCATTAAATTCATTAAAGTTGAAAGGTTAATGTTTTAGTATAATAAAGTGGCGTATTGCTGGCAGAGAATGAGGTCACTTTTTTCTAGATCTTGAGATATATGATGATTTGATGTTGGGAAGGTGAGAAACAGCAGAGGGGGCAAAACTTGAACTTAGTATTTTGTAAAAACGTTTCTAACAGTACTAAACTTTATCCTTCAAACTTCCTTTGCAGACAGGAAAGTTTTAAAAGAGTCTTAAAGTTGAATCTGCATGATTCTATTTATGTAGTGTTTTCATAACTGCAGAATTACAGATCAGTAGCAGCCAAGGCTGAGGGGTGGAGTAATGGGTCTAGACAGTTTTTGCTTCATTCGTTTGTGAAGCTCTGTATTTGGTGCACAAACTCAAGGGTATTATATGTCCTCTTAAAATTGACACAGCCCTCATTGTAAGTGGCCTGGTAGTTTTTATCCTGGGCAGTGATCTTTGTCTGTTATTAATAAAGCTTCTTAGTCTTTCCTTTGTTCAGTGTTCTCAGGATAAACACAGTATATCTTTTTGTAACTACTGTTGCCTTTATATGTAAAATGTGTTTCTCATAGACAATATATGGTTTTTAGTTTGCATTTATATGGGATGTTTAGATCGTTGGTTATTGACACAGTTGTATTGCTATTTTCTGACTGTTTCTTTCATCAGTTCCTTATGCCTCTTTGATTCTGTTTACTTTTGGGTAAAGTGAACTTTTTAAAAAGTGGTTTTTTATATTCTTTTCTTTGTTGTCTCATTAGTGACAGCAATTTTTTTTGTTTTAAGTTTAAGTAACTATGTTATAGTTTATTGTACACGTGTTTAAATGATTGCATCTATCTTTCAGTGAAACTACATCTCTTGGCATATAGTATAAACAACTAGGAATAGTTTCCTTAGATGCCTTCCTTCCTGGTTTTCATGCTATTGGGATCATACATTATCTGTGTACATATATGACAAATTTCACACTCAGTTGCTATACTTAAAGTCAATAGTACTTAAAGAGATTTCAATAATGAAAGAAACTTACTTCTTTACTCCTGCAATTACTGTTACCTGTGTTCCCAGTTCCTTCATTTAGATTCATCTTTTCTTCTAGTATTAGATGCTTTCAGTCTGGAGGACTTCCATTAGCATTCCTTGTAGTGTGGGTATGTTGCTGATTATTTCTTTTCTGCTCTTCTGTAGCTGAAAACAACTTACTTTCAACTTCTTTTTTTCTCAGCTTCTCAGGGATATGGCACTTGCTTTTAGTACTTTGCAGAAGTTTCTTCATTGTCTTGCTGCTTACATTGTTTTCAGAAATTTGCTATCATTCTTAGTTGTCTTTTTTTTTTTTTTTTTTTTTTTTACCGGGATTAAACTCACTACCCTGCACTTGCAAGGGAGGTGCATATGCTGTTGAGCTAAATATCCGGCCCATCATTCTTAGTTTTGATCCACCTACATAACATGTATTTTTCTCTCTTCTGGCTGCTTTTACAATTTTTTCTTTTTATCCCTGCATTTGACTGTTAATTACAATGTTCAGTTTTTGTGTGTTCAAGTTCATGAGTGCACACACACACTTAGGAGATATCCAGCTTCTTAGATATGTTGATTTATAGTTTCCATCAAATTTAACAATGTTTCATACATCCAATATTTTTCTGTTTTTTTCCCTTTCTTTAGAAAACTTCAGTTACACATGTATTGGGGTGCTTGACATTGTAACACAGTTCACTGATACTCTATAGTTTTCTCTATTTTCATTTCAGAGAATTTCCATTACTGTATCTTCAAATTCATTAATCTGCCACTAGTACTTCTGTCTGGTGTATTTTTTTTCTCCAGACATTCACTTTAGGTCTTTTCAATGTGTGTGTGTGTGTGTGTGTGTGTGTGTGTGTGTGTGTGTGTGTGTGTGACATAAGGGATTGAACTCAGGCCTTCCTGATGTCCCCACCCCTGCCTTTTTTTTTTTTTTAAAGACAGAGTCTCGGGCAGTCACTTCATTGTCTAGGTTGGATTTAGCTTGTTTTTTGTCATAAAGGGCCCATGTTTGTCTTCTTGATTAGATACTAAGTGTTATGAATTTTACCTTTTTGGATGATGAATGTATTTTATTCCTATAAATATTCTTGAAGCGTAAAACAAACTACTTAGAGTCTTATCCTTTTAGGTCTAGTTTTTAAAATCATTTTCATGAAACTGGAGCAGCATTTATTTAGCCTAGGCCTGTTTCCTGTTGCTGCAGGAAAAGCCTTTTGAGCGCCTTCCTCAGCCCTGTGAATTATGCAGACTGGTAATAGGCGCAGTTCAGAGCCCTGAGTAAGGATGAGGTAATGTTTTGTTCAGATGCATCCTCCTTGTTCAGATGCATCCTCTGTGGACCTTGGTAACTTCATCACATGCATGTGCAGATCAGTGTAGGTCTCTGGGATTTTCTTGCATTCTAACCTTGTTTCCTGTGAACTAACTTGGGAACTGCAGCCACTTGGGTGTCTTTAGAACTATCTGTTCCATTGTGTCAACTGAGGGACTCTACCAGGCATCACTCAGCTTCTCTTTCCCTGCACCATAGTTTGAAAACTTTCTTGAGGTAATAAGCCAGAGCAGTCCTAGGGCTCTCCTGGCTTGTTTACTAGCTCTCAGGAATCACAGTCTTGCATGGTTTGGTGTCCAGTGTCTTGAGAATAGTGGTTTCATGCATTTTGTTCTGGGTTATTTCAAGTGAAGATAAATTGAATTCTTGTTTATCCATCTTGTTTGAAAGTAGACATCTCATAATTGTCTTCTTTTTCTTTATGTATTTAATGTCACAATAATTTTAAGAAAAAAGTTATAACCATTTATGGGTAAGCAAATTTCTTAATATGCCTCCAACTTTTGAGTGTATAAGCTTGCAGTAGAGTGAAGGGAATAGAGAAAGTAAAATAACAGCTCCCTTCCTTCTCTAAAACGTAATGTTTTGCTGATTGTTGCTGTGCTCTACTAGAGCCCCTTTGTTTCTTTCAGGAAGGGCTCTAAAAAAGTTCTATGGATGGACCACTCAAATATATGGAAGAATTGATCAGTAGAATTGTCTTGATCTTTCTGCTTTAATGTATATGATAACAGGATTGACAATCAAATATTGTAGAAGAAACATAAAGAGGAAACTTTCTTTACTAGATACTAAAATAAAGCCATAGTAATATTGAGATGCTGGTGCTGATATAGATACAGATTAGAGGATCAAAATAGAACAGACAGGCTCATAGTTACATCTTAAAATGGAGCATAAAGAGGATACTGTATTTCAGTGATGAGTTGTTCAGCAGGTGGTATTTTTACAGTTAACCAATTCACTGAAAAAAATAGTTAAAGTTACATTTGTACCATATGTTATACCAAGATATAATCCAAATAGGTTACAGATATAATTATGAAATATTTGAAGAAAATATGAGTAATTCATATGTTTTGGAAGAAGAGAATGTCTAACATAAAGGGTTCAAACAAACATAATGAAAAAAATTATATAATTATGTAATGATTTTATATTTTATGTATGACAAAAAAATCCTTACTGTATGAAGACTTCTTATAAAGTAGCAAAACAAAATATCAAGAGTAAAAAAGTAAACACTAGAAGATGGGCAAAGGATATGATTAATAAAGAGTTAAAGGTAAAATACCTAAATATCCAATAAATATTTATTAGTTTTAAAATTTTCTACTTCATGATAATAGTGTTAATAGCTACCATTTATTTGAAATTTCTATTTGAGTATGGTAAATACTTTCAACAAATTAGCTATTTTAATTCTTTAAAAGATAACTATAGTGATATCATCTAAGCCTTGCCCTAAGTGACAAAGATTACAACCCAAGTCATCTGACTCTAAAATCTTGTACCTCATCATTTCTCAAGGAAATAAATTGAACCTACCTAAAATCTGACTTCAGCTTACAGAGAAATTGGACTTTTACTCGTGTCACATAGCTTATAAAGGATAAACTGAGTTAAAGTTTTTTTTAGGAAGAAAACAGGATACAGAAAACAAAATGAGCAACAAAGCAAATGTCTCTTAATTTTACAAATGTACTGTTTCTTTTCAGAATATTTAAAAGATGCTTCAAAGAAGATAAAAAGCGGCCTAATGTTTATAAAACTGGTTAATCCATGCTCAGGTGAGTTCCCTTCCTTTCCTCCTCTCCCTCCACTCCTGCTTTCCCTCCTCTAGTGATGATAACTTGAATGTTTTTAAACATTGTGGTTGTATATAGACTTTGTTGCCACTGTGTCTTCTTTCCAAAAGCTTTTAAAGTTAAAATGGCACTATAAGATGACAAAAGCAAGCTGGTGACAGTACTAATCTTCCCAGATAAGTCATTTGACCTAAACATTTTTAAAGTTTCTTGTAATTTTTAATCCATGGAACTTTTCAGACACTAGAAATGTTGGCAAAACACACAAACAAAAAATAACATGTTTGAATTCTGTCTGAAAACAAATTAATTTTCTTTGGCTTTCTTAAACCAACATTTTTTAGAGTAGTTCTCTAACATTAGCCCTGTTTATAATACCACTTTTACGTTATAAAGTAAAATAAACAACCGCAGTAAAACACAAGGCTTTGACTTGACATTCAGGAGATTTAGATTTCATTTTTAGCTGTGCTTTTCCTCGTTTTGTTATGACCAAAAAATAGTACATGTCACAGGATGACGTTTTTTGTTAGAAGCGTTGTATATTGCCATGATTCATATTTCACTAGAAAGCAATATCAACTGTATAGACAAGGCACTTTCAGCTTTATCTTCTAATTTTTTAAGCAGAAATGTTATAGTGACATTAGTGTTACTATCTGTGTGCAGCTGTTTTCCCATTAATTTACAGTTTTGAGTAGATGCCTGGTACTTGGCAGGTTACAGCAGTCTCCTAGTGACTGTGATGCTGAGTAGTGGAAGAGATGAAGGGTGAGAGGCAGCACCTTGCTGGAGAGGCATATAAATAGAGAGAGGGATGAAAAAATGCTCTCTTCTGCCAGTGTTCTCCTCAAATAGAAATTTGAATGTAATTAGTCAACTGTATTGTTGACTAATTGAAGCCTAAATTGAGCTAAGAAATATTTCTTTGAGCAATTTTAGATAGCAGTAAAGATTCTAAAGCAGGTACAAAAGAAAGTTAGCCTTCTAAAATTTGCTTTCTCTAAATATATATAAACAGGCCAGGGATATAGCTCAAGCAGCACAGTGCCTGCCTGGCAAGTGTGAAGTTATGAGTTCAATCCCCAGTACCAAAAAAAGAAAAAAAGAAAGAATATATGCTTAAAAATAAATAGATAAATAAATACAAACAACCAAGGAGCAAATGTTTGTATTTGCTACATTGGAAGTGAAAACCAAAGGTTGACATCTGGTGAGCACTTTACAGTATGTGCCAAATGCTGTTTTATGAAATTTGTATGTATTCTGTTTTCTCAGTCTTTACAAAAAACCTATGAGGTAGACCTAATATTGCTCCATTTTACAGATGAGAAAGCATAGATACAAAAAAGGTCCATGACATATTCCCAAGGGTGTATGCCCAGTATACATTGAGGACAGGTTGGAACTCAGGGACCTTGATTCTAGACGTGTGTGCCATAGTTGTGAAAAATTTTTTTTTTCATGACAAGGAGGTGAAATGTGCACATGCTCATAGACTGCACCCTCTATTTTCGCTCCCCCTTTTTAATAAAAGAAACAGAGAAGTCTATCCACTTGAGTGGGGCTGTGCCCCTTCCTTATGATGTGAAGTATGTCTTTGGCTTTCTCATTGAGGTAGCTTGTGGGGACCGAGGGCTTGGGCCCTTTTTGGTCTCTGTGTAGGCAACCTCATGCTGCCTCGAGACAGATCCCCACCAGGCTGAACTGTTAGGTTGTGGCAGTTTAGAGTGATTTTTTTCCCCTCAGTCTGATGCAGTGAGACTCTTGGTAGCAGCTGTGATAAATGACTTGCACATTTTTTACTTTTTTGGTTTAAGTTCAGTGACGATTACAGAGCTGAAAAATAAGCATCTCTGTGTAATAGCCATAAGCTTTCCTTGGAGTGAATTTGTGTAGAGTATATCTATGCATGTTTATGTTCACATTAGGAATATTCCTCAGAACTGTTGGGTAGTCTTTTGATGTGTGCAAGTGTGTGCATATAAGAAAACTTAGAAATAAAAACCAGATTTGTCTTGCAGGGGAAGGAGCCATTTACTTGTTCAGTATGTGTTTAAAGCAGCTGTTTGAAATCAAAGTTTTCAAGGAAAAATACCATTCCTGGTTTATAAATGAATCAGTTCAGTCAGGTAAGTGACAAGCATGTATAGTCCCATTCAGCTTTTGTGTCCTTCACAGCTGGGGTTATGATCATGAACCTGGCCTAGAGTGTGGTTGGTGGTGCAGCTCTCTTAACAGTGGCAGCAGGGCACAGTTTAACGAAGGAGAAAGCAAACATCATTTGAACGCTGTGTCATCACCTAACTGAAATTGTAGAATATTTTAAACTAATGACTCTGATGTGTGTCCTAACACACTAATACACAGGCAGAAGGTAGGTTACTTTCTTACCTAGGGACACATTATGCTAGCTAGAAATTCCTTCTTTTGAGAATCTGCATTGTTTTTTCTCTTTTTAAATTTTTTCAGTACATATTTATTTTACATAATGATTGCATTCCTTGTGGGAAGTTGGTCCCACAAGAAAAAAACACATCTCAATTCTTTTTTGCATTCCCTTTCCCTTCTTTCCCCTCCCTCCATGTCTTGATCCTCTTCCCATTTGAAAAAGATTCATCTTCCTTCTTCCTATTACTTGTCTTTTATTTTTCTCTCAGTATTGTATTATCTTCATGTTTTTAATACATTGCTTGAAACTGATATGGCTTCTAAATAGATTACAGTATGCCAACATTTTAACAATACTTTGCTGTACACACACACACACACACACACACACAGCAAGGTGGATGAGGGTACACTATCGTGTTTCTTTGACTCTGCCTTTCTTTTGGATACCACTCAGCATCAGCGTTCACCATTTTTTTAAATCATACCTCACAAAGACGCTCATGAAAAAGAGAACTTCCAGAACTGCTTCTGAACGTGGCAAGAAAGATAGTATAAGTGTAGTTGAAAGGAGAATTATTTTCAGAGAGATGAATGGCAGTGGGTCTTTTACTTAATACGTTTCTTTTTTGAATGTAAATAATTGAGTTTTGATTACCCTTGTATAGTACTTCCATACCTCCATACACACATACACACACACCCTACCTCCTATACCTATATGCAAGAGAAACTGGAAAATTTTCAGCTGCCAAGATGCAATGGAAATTTGTGTCCAGCCTGATTGATTAAAAGTATTTACTACCTTTATTGTTGTTTTTATGCTTATTCATTTGGCAATATACAAGAGTTACTACATCAAATATGATATACTTGTAGATGGTATAGCTAGTAGAAACAGAAATATCCCGAATTGGAAGGCAGTGATTAACACATTCAGAATGAGACTGTACATAGTGCCTGTCCTGTATGCACTTGTACCACTTGATGGAACTGTCCCATGCTGCCTGATAGGAAATCGTACATGTACTACTGGTGGTTCAGGTTGCCTGATGATGTGCACTACAGGTTCAAGCTGGCAAGAACTTGTTAGTCAGATCTGTTCTGGATGGTCTTCTTTTCTTTTTTAATAGACTATTTGTACAGCAACTTATGTTCACAGGAAAGATCTCTTTTCTTTCTATTTTCCCCACTGTTGTCTTCTTCTTGAACTTAATCCTAAAGAAAGAGCTACTTTGACAAATAGTTACTGGGATATTATCAGTAGATCTAGAAACCTTTCCTAATGTTTGCATATAATGGATGATTCCTATAAAATGAGCTGAGAACTGCAGATAGATTATTTTCATGAAATTTTGTTTATTTGAAATATTTAAATGTCATAATATAAAATTACTTCCTTAACTTTTTCTGCATACTATGAAGTTTAAGGTCACAACAGAAAATTATATTTTTCTGTAGCTACTTAATGCAGGTTGCCTTGTATTCACCTGTACTTCCCTACAGTGGAAGTGGGGGAAGAGAGAGGATCTATAAAAAATGATTTCTGAAGATGAAAAGCAAATTTAAAATTTGATTTTAGTGTCTCCACTTTCCTCCTCGCACAGATATTTGGAGCTTGTCTTAGTTACTTTTTACTGGTTGCTGAGACAAAATACCTGAAGCCCAAGTTGGGAAAGGAAAGATTTATTTCTTACAGTTTTTGGAGGTTTCAGTCCACACTTACTTAGCTCCAAGGCAGACAACTGCAAACAGCAAGCAGGAAAGAGCAAGACACACCTTCTTCCTGCCAGTACATCACATCCTGGCTCCACCCCTATATGGGTATAGCACTGACACCATCAATCCACTACACAATGAACCATCACAAATGTACAATGCAAACTCATGAGGCCTGGGGGCCACAGACATAAACCATGACAGAGCTCTTTGGAGTAAAATCTCATGGAACACATTTTGCCTTTTGAGCAATGGTTGATCATGAAAGACTCAAGATTAAGTTAGCAATCTGAAAACATTTAGACTAGGGAATCTGATATGAAAGAAAATGAGAGCATTTCAAAGCATTTTTTGCTACTAGTTAACCTAAGAGAAAGTACAACAGCATATTCCTGCATATGCTATGGAATGGGTAGATCTCATAGGTGAGAAGAAGCTTCTGAATAGGATTAGTAAATGAAATGGCCAAGTTGTTTTTCTGAGACATGCAATTCTCTGTGTTCTTTAATCCATAGGCGGTCTCCTTCACTTTGCCACACCCATGGACCCTGTGTTTCTGCTCCTCCACTACCTCATAAAAGCTGGCAAAGAGGTGAGCTTCCTAGTTTGGGGCATTTATACTGAGGGACCTGCATAGATTTTGTTTTATTTCTCTTCTCTCCTTTTCATGGTCCAAATACGGATTTCTGCACTTCCCCTTTAATTTGATTATTGTAGAGAATGTGCGTGGTATGTGCTAATGTGGGTCAGAGCACCATACAGAGGCCTGAGAAACAGCACTGAGTCTTGATCCAGTTCAACACCAGCTTGGCCATGACCCCTGGATTGCCTGTGACCTCTGAACTGCCCATTTTACTATGCTGTGCACCTTGATGATTGACGAAGCCTAAGAATGAAAACTTTTGTCATTAAATTCTCAGGTATAAAATGTCACAAAATCGACCACAGACCTAAGGAAACTGATTGAAACCTTGAATGAACAATATAGAAAACAAGCAGAAATGAAACAAACTCAAACAGACATCTAAGAAACAAAAATTCTATTCAAAGCTGGCAAACCCGTTTAAATTCAGCTGAGGATAGGATTTCGGAACTTGAGGACAGGATCGCAATTAATGATCATGAAAGGACAGAACTTTTAAAAATAACAAAGCAGCATGGAATGACAATCCAGCTTCAAGATGATGCCAAGAGCAACAATATAAGATTAATAGGCATCACTGAAAATGCAGGAGTCAGTGCTAATGACATAACTAAAATATTCACAGAAGTAATAGCAGAAAATTTCCCAAACATGGGGGAAAAATCTGATATGCAGATAAATGAGGCATATAGAATGTCAGTCACAACCAACATAAATCTACACCCAGACTTATAATAATTAAAATCTCAGACATACAGCATAAAAACAGAATACTAAATGCTGTTAGAGAGGGGCTGGGGATTTAGCTCAGCGGCATAAGTGCCTGCCTTGCAAGCAGGCAGTCGTGAGTTCGATCCCTGGTACCGATAAAAAAAAGACAAAAAAAAAAAAAAAAAAAAAAGCTGTTAGAGAAAAGACACAACTCACCAATCAAGGAAAGCCTATTAAAATCACAGCAAACTTTTCACCACAAACCCTCAAGTCAAGATGAACTTGGAGTGAGGTATTTCAAGCCCCGAAAGAAAACAACTTTCAATCCAGACTGATGTACCCAGAACAACTTTCATTCAAATTTAATGGAGAAACAAGATACTTCTGACAAAGAACAACTGAAAAAATTCATGTCCACCAAGCCACCTAGAAAGAATATGGAAAGACATACTAGACAGAGATAAAAACAACCACAATTCCCAGAACAACAACAGAAAGAAACCACTAAGTAGGACAAACAATTAAGGGGGGAAAGCAGAAAGCAAACAAATGGAACATATCATGGCAAAGTCGAGCCAGTACCTATCAGTATTGAGCCCATAAATGTAAATGGCCTCACTTCACCTAACAAAAAAATAGGTTGACAGAATGGATCAAGAAACATGATCCCACAATATGCTGTATATAGGAAACACATCTGACCCAAAAGGAAACTCATAGATTAAAAGTCAAAGGATGGAAAACAGTATTCCATGCAACAGGATCCCAGAAAAAAGCAAGGGTAAGTATTCTATTTGCAGACAATGTGAACTTCAAACCTAAAATGATTAAAAGAGATACTCGTTAGTGGGAGAATTCAAGAGGAAGAACTAATAATTATAAATACGTATGCACCAAATACAGGAGCATCCAGTTATATAAGACAGATGCTAATGGACATGAAAAACCAAATACACAAGAAGACAGTTATAACAAGGGACCTTAACAGCCCATTGTCACAAAGACATAGAGCAACTAGACAAAAAGTCAGCAAAGAAATAATAGAACTGAATCATACCTGCAAGCAATTGGACTTAGTAGATGTTTACAGAGTGTTCCACCCAACCACGTCAGAATACACATTCTCCTCAGCTGCACATGGGACATTCTCCAAAATAGAACGTATATTAGCCCATAAAACATTCTTAAATAACTGCAAAGATATTGCAATTATCCCAGGCGTAATATCTGACCATAGAGCACTGAAATTGAAACAATGGCAAAAGAAATTGCAAAACCTGCATAAATGCATGGAAATGATAACTTTCTGAACAACCAGTGGGCTACAGATAAAATTAAAGAAAAAATAAAGCAATACTTACAATTCAATGAAAATGCAGAAACAACATACTATAATCTGTGGGGTGCAATGAAAGTGATCTTAAGAGGGAGCTACATAGCAATAAATTGTCATATCAAAAAAACAGAATGAGCACGAATAAACAACCTAATGTTTCATCTCAAGCTTCTAGAAAAAGAAAAGCAAGTTAAACCCAAAGCTCATAGAAGAGAGGAAATTGTAATTAAAAACTTAGCAACAAAGAAAAGCCCAGGTCCTGATGGATTCACAGCTGCATTCTATAAGAAATTTAGAGAAGATGCCAGTACTCCTTAAACTCTTCAGTGAAATTGAAAAGGAAACAATCCTCCCTAAATTATTCCTAGAAACAAGTATTACTCTCATACCAAAACCAGAGAAAGACTTACCCAAAAGGGAAAATGACAGGCCAGTCTCACTAATGAACATTGATGCAAAGATTCTCAATAAAATATTGGCAAATAGCAGCAAATCATCAAGAAGATTATATATCACGACCAAGTGGGATTCATTGGAGGAATGCAGGGGTGGTTTAACATACACAAATGTAATACACCACATCAACAGAGCCAAAAACAAAACCCACATGGTCATCTCAATAGATGCAGAAAAAGCTTTCGCTACAACCCAACACATGTTCATGATAAAAACCCTACAGAAACTCAGAAAACACGGTATCTACCTCAATCTTATAAAGACCATCCATGACAAACCAACAGCCAACATTGTACTAAATGGACAAAAACTGAAAGCTTTAACTTTAAAATCAAGAACAAGACCAGGATGTCCACTGTCACCACTCCTATTCAGTATAGTCCTGCAAACACTAGCCAGGGCAATCAGACAAGAAAGAGAAATAAAAAGAATAAAGATAGGAAAGGTAGAAGTTAAATTATCACTATTTGTAGATGACATGATACTCTATACAGAAGACAAAAAAAAAACTTGATTAAAAGGCTACTAGAAGTAATAAACAAGTTCAGCAGTGTAGCTGGATACAAAGTCAACACTCAAAAATCAATAGCATTCCTGTATACAAACAAAAAACTCTTTGAGAGAGAAATGGAAATATCGCCCTTCACAATAGCATCTAAAAAAAAAATGAAATACTTAGGAATCAATCTAAGAATGTAAAAGACCTATATGCTGAAAATTATGCTAAACTAAAAAAGGAGATTGAAGAGGATATTAGAAAATGGAAGAATATTCCTTGCTCTTGTCTAGAAAGATCCAACATTGTGAAAATGGCCATACTCCCAAAACTGCTGTACAGATGTAATACAATCCCAATCAAAATACCATTAAAATCAAGAACAAGACCAGGATGTCCACTGTCACCAGAGAAAACACTCCTAAAATTCATTTGGAAACAGAAGAAACCTAAACTAGCAAAGGCAGTTCTGGGCAACAAAGGCAAGGCAGGAGTCATCTCAATTCCTGACTTGAAACTATACTACAAAGCCACAGTGATAAAATCAGCATGGTACTGGTTAAGAAATAGACCTAAGGATCAGTGGAACGGATCAGAAGATGCAAGCACAATGCCAAAGACACTTAGCCACCTGATATTTGACAAAGGGGCTAAACATGTTTACTGGAAGAACGACAGCCTCTTTAATAAACTGTGTTGGAAAAATTGGCTCTCCACATGCCGAAGACTGAAACTAGATCCATGCCTATCACCGTGCACAAAACTAAAGTGTAAGTAGACCAAAGACCTAAATATTAAAACACAAGCCCTAAATCTTCTGGAAGATAGTTCCAGGTAGTTCTTAGAGACATAGGGGTAGGCAGAGAATTCATGAACAAAATGCAAACTGCATGGGAAACACTTCAAAGAATCAACAACCGTGAACTCATATAATTGAAAAGTTTCTGCACTTCAAAAGAAATACCAACAGAGTGAAAAGAAAACCCACAGCATGGGAAAGAATTTTAACCAACAACCCCTCAGACAAAGGACTTATATCCAGAACCTATAGAGAATTGAAAAAAGCATCAAGCCCCCAAATTCAAAGACGTTCTCCAAAAATGGGCATCTGAGATGAACACATAGTTCTCAGATGAAAATATACAAATGGCAAATAAATATATGAAGAAATGTTCGAGAAACATGTTTCTGTGGTAAAGAAAGTAAAAATGAGCCGTGCCTATTAACCTAGCTGCTTGCAAGGCTGAGGGGAGGATCTCAATTTCAAGGCCAGACTGGGCAACTTAGCAAGCCCTGATCTCAAAAATACAATATAAAAACAGCTGGGAATGTAACTGAGTGGCAGAATACTTGCATAGCTTGTATGAGGCCGCACTGCCACAAAAAAAGGAAAAAATAACAGTAATTATTAAATTATGTCTGTGTGGCAGCCGGTTACAAGTAGAATACTATTTTAGAGTAATAAAATATTTAAAATGTTGTTTGATCATGGGAGACTACGGATTTAAGGTAGCAATCTAAAGACAGACTTGGGAAATGTGTGATTTGAAGATGAGAATATTTAAATTAAGGCTTTTCCTACCATCCATTAACCCAACAGAATGCAAGACAAGCCGTTGTGTGTCCCATTGAATGAAAAGATTTCATTCTTAAACCAAAGAAAGCTGCATTTATAGAAGAAAAACTGACAAGACAGTTTCTGTCTTCATGAAAAGAGACAAGCAGATGTGTGACTGTGGCAAAGCCACGCTGCTTTTATGAAGCTTTGCCTCCTTAAATCAGACCAAGGTCTTCATTTAGACAAACTCTGCCTCCTCCTGCAACAAGCTGAGAAACACTAAACCTAGCATCCGGGCCAAACTTCTCTGGCTGTGCCTGATTTCACTTGTCTGCATCTTCTTTGAGCCCCCTTCTGTTTTCTTTATTGTCTAAATTTAGAAACATTGTCTGACAGCTCTGACACTTTTGAAATTTTTCTTTTTGTTGTGAATTTTTCTTTCTTCAGCCCTAGAGGCCAGGAAGGTAGGTGTATGTTCTGGGCCTGGTAATGGCTGTGTTCCTCAGGCCTCCTGCTTTGTGACTTCAGCTGGCTCTTCATAGTGAATGCTTGGGTCGGCCTTGGCAGTCTCTACCATCTTGGCAAGTTCTGTGGCTTCCTGTGCTTTTGTAGAACTTTATTCCACTGTGTCAGGCAGTGACTATACCCTGGAGGTAGACCACATGCTGCTTGGAAACCCAGTGCTCACAAGAGCTTCCTGGAGGTTGCTGAGGAGCAGTCCTAGATCCCATCCCACTTTGGAGGTTCCTAAAATGGAACAAGGGGCTCTGAGTTAAGTTGAAAGGTAGTTGAGGTAGTATGTCTTTTTAATTCTTTTATATGTGAGTTTCTTGACTGGAACTCTTGCATTTTCTGGCTGACTAAAGTGTTTTGTTTTGTTTTGTTTCCAGGGAAAGTTTCAGCCCATAGATCAAGTTGTGATGGATGACGTATTTTCAAATTGCACCTTGTTGCTGAAACTTCCAGAACTTGAGAAGTTACTTCGTCATGTAACAGAGGAAAAAGGTTTGTAACGTGGACCTTTGAAGTCAGGCTATAGTTGGTAGAAAGGCCAGGCCTTTGTCTGAGAATGTAGCCACTTAAAGACTCCCTGACTGTAAAGCTTATTTTTTTCTCTTTTTTAGTGGCACATTTTAGATATATATAATGATAATATTCAAGATAGGGAATTTGTACCTGTATGACGTATCTTGCTTCTTTTTTTCCCATTCCCCTCCTGTCCTTTCAATCCCTTCTCCTTTATTTACAAAACTTGGTTTCCATTTTTTTCATTTCCATTCTCTTTCTTTTCTTTGTCCCTTTCTTCCTTTTTGCCTCCCACCTCCCATGAACTTTTCCCTTAAATGTTCCGCTTCTCATTTAAACATTTTCTTCCCATTTCCCAATAGCTGTTACACCTTTTGGTCTTTATTTATACATTCAGTTCCTCATATCAGAGAAACAATTCAGTATTTTGAATACATGTGTCCGATTTATTTCACTTAAGTGTATGATCTCAAGGTACATCTATTTAGCTAGAAAAGTTTCAAGTTTACTCTTCCTTGTGGCAGGGTAGTACTCTATTGTATAAAAAAGCCACATCTTCTTTAACCATTCATCAGTTGATGAGCATTTGTGCTGTTTTCAAGTTTTAGCTATTCTAAAGTGGACTACTATAAACATAGCTGTGCTATTTTACTGTGATGTGATGCTTTTAATTCTAGTTATCAGAAAGATAACTAGAAGAATAACTGAATCAAATGATACCTCTAATTTTAGTTTTTTGAGGTGTCTCCACGCTGATTTCCACAGTGGTTGCACCAGTCTACACTGCCACCAACAGTGAAAAAGGATTCCCTTTTGCGTGTAGCCCTACCAGCACTTGTTCTTGGCTGATTTCTTATTAATAGGCATTCTTTGTGGAGTGAGATGGAATCTCTGTTTTGTTTTAATTTGCATCTCTCAAATTACTGGTGATGGTGAACATTTTTCATGTTTATTTGCTGTTTCTACTTCTTCATCTTGAGAAGTGTCTGTTCATTTTAGATGCCTGGGTTTTGAAGTGGGTCTTTAAATTTGGAGTATTGAGTTCTTTATCTAGTCTAGATATTAGTCCTTTGTCTGAGGAAAATTTTACCGTTAATGATGCCGGGGGCATTTACTGAGCACCTACTGAGAACCATATGTTTAACACTAGGCTTGGGGGACAAGTAAGGCATTGTCTCTTCTCTCACTTTACTTTGAATCTGATGGCAGAAATGACAAGGAGGGTAATAACAGGATAATGTAATAGAAGTAAATCCTGTTATTTGCTGGGAAGTTTCAGGACACGCCATAGTTGAGTGGTGAGCACAGTGGTGAGCACAGGTGAGCAACTTTTGCTTTCTGCACACAGAAATTCCCTCTGAGTGGAGCCTTAGAGAATGTGTTAGAGTAGAGGCATGGACTTGTAGAAAAGATGATTATGCATAGGAATCCCAGGGACTTTACTGTAGCTAGAGTATAGGATGCTGGGGAGGTATTTAGGCTGCTACGGAAGAGGACAGGAACACTATACAAGGGTCCAGATGGGAGGGACCTTATATGCATCAGGGGGTAGGGTGGTGATAGCATGTGTGTAAATTTTTTTTCAGGACAGTGCTTAAGTATGGAGATTACATTGGAGAAACCAAAGCCAGGTCATAGGGTGTTGCCATGATGTAGATGGAAGGTCACGGGAGCCTGTACTTTGGAGATGGTGCGGGAAGGAAGCAGCAGTTCAGTGGTGGAAACAGCCACATTAGTGACTACATATTGACCAAGGAAAAGAGGACTCCAGAATGGCTCCCAGGTGTGTACTTTGATCCAGAGGGTATATAGTGCCATCTTAGAGTCAGGGAACATAGGATAGAGGAGCAGCTGGAGGGTGAGGTAAATTTTAGATATTGTTCACTTGAATTTGGAGAAAAGTAAGTGATGCACTAGGGTGAGTATGATTTGACAATTCAGAAAAACTGGACAGACTTAGTACCATTGTCTCCAAAAATCATCAGAGTAGTTTTCAGGATTAATCTGGAAAGACAGGGTGTGGTTGAGAACAATAGGCCAATAAGTTATGACTGTTTGTGGTCACAGATGGTTTGGCAAACTATGAGAGTTCTTCTGGGACCAAGAAAGTGGTGATTCCAAGAAGTGGAGGCTTATGAGAGCTTGCTGGTTGCAGTTCACATGTGAGAGGGCTTACTAATTTTTGGACTCCCTTGATACTCCAGTTTGGATCTGAGGGGTATGTAGTGTCAAGATTTTATCAAGGCAGTCCCACTGAAGACAGGAGACAGCCAACTTTTTTTGAGTGACAAATGAACTAACCCATAGTCATTTTTGAAAGCTAAAGTAAATGAAGTAATGAAGTAATAATTGTGGACATTTTTAATTTGTGTCAGTTTAATTCAAAAAATGTGGTTAAATTATTATTCAAAATCCCACCATTATGAAAAAGTGACCTTAGAAACCCAGAGACCAAAATTATTAAACAGTGTTAATACTTCCGTACTTTTTTCACTTCTAGTCCAAACTTGAGAGCAAGAACTTCTCTCAGTTCTTCCTGCTTGCACACCAGATGACAGGCTAGTTGCAGTGTTGTCGTGAGTACCTGGTCTCCTCTACCTCTCAACATTGCTAGGTAGAAGAGCTGTACTTCCCTTTTCAATTTATCCATGCAGTCTATGTGTGTGTGTGTGTGTGTGTGTGTGTGTGTGTGTGTGTGTGTGTGAGAGAGAGAGAGAGAGAGAGAGAGAGAGAGAGAGAGAGAGAGAAGTTTCTAACAATCCCAGGGCTCAGATTATGTTTAAATGATAGGAAGCCCAAGCAAAGTACTAAAGATTAAATGTCACACAGTAAAAGATCCAGTTTGACAGAGGTTTGGCATTTTTCATAATCAAATCCTTTTCTTAATGAACTGAAGCCTATAAATTTTAACATAATAGTTTAAAAATAAAACCATGTAATTTTAGAACATTGAGGAGGAAAAAAATAATGTCTCATACCTCTCTTCAAAAAGATCTCTTTATCAGCATTCATATGAGCAGTTTTATATTATGTACTTTGCTCTTTCACCCAACATATAAATGCATGAAATAGTTTTCTTATGTGAGGTCTGTGTTCAGACAGTATACTAAGATCGACATCTTTTTCTATGAAGATTCACAGGGAAATCCTGACATTAAGCTTTATAATGATTACTAGAGCTTGTCAAAAAAGATATAGTAAGTGTAGGACATAAAGTTTGATACAGAAGAATCACTAAGCTTATTATTTTAAATATATGATTATCTAATCCTTACAGTAATTTCCTGTCATTGTTATTATGATCTATACCTTTGGAAATTAGAAAATAGCTGCAAAAAATTGTGGAAACTTAACTGACATTACAGAACACTGAAGTAGAACCAGGATTTGTACTTACTTGTGTTTATCAGATAGGGGCCCTTGCCCTTCCTTCTTACAGCTGCATGATCCTTCCAAGATACTCTGCTAGAGGGTTTAGGTAGTGTCTCATTTAAAAATGGAACTGAGGGGCTTTTATCTAAAGCCTATAGTATATCTCCTCTTAATTATTTCCCTCTAGGTGGCACAAGAAGGAAGCAGGAAAGGAGATAGAAGTGGAAGAGTTTAAAGACCAGACAATTCTTATCCCTACAAGGGCTTTCTTAAGTTGGCACTGTACACAGTTCCCTACAGGTTATCTTTTGGTCATTGTGTTGAGGACTGGCTCCTTATTTAAATTTAAACTTTTATCTATTTATAAATTAATATTTGTTTTCATTCTGTCATTTATTTCTAGATTTTTAAGTAAGAAAAATAAGGCAAGAAATATCTTACAGCAGGGAGAATAATCAAAGAAGAAAGCTGAATTTTTTGGACTTTATCCTTTTCATAGGCATTTGTGTGGATAGTAAAACCTGAAATATTCAAATCTCTTTCCAGCTATTTTGATACTGAACTCCAGATGCATGCTGAAGTGTCTGTGACATTACAGATCAGGTCGAGCCTGCTGGACCTGAGAGAGCTGACTCCTCTGGCCTTCCAATGAATAAGCCCAGCCAGTCACTGGCGCCCCAGACACTGGTGGCCATGACCTTAGCCTTCCCAGCTTTATTAGAGATGGAATGCCATGTGTCTGTTTGCTGGCTCTGGGATTCTGAGCACATTTCTTGTCAAAGAACCTCACATTCAGAGGAGAGATGAACAAAGAGTCATGAACTTTGCCTTGACTGCAACACTCTGCTTCTTCATATTCTATGCCAAAACTGCACTGGCCTGTCTGATGCAATTATCAGGAAGAGCCAGGAAAACTTACCTGATTAAAATACTCCAAGTGTAGTTGCCAAGTTTCTATTCCCAGGATGTAGAGAAAAAAGGACCATGTGAGTTCCTTCATAATGGGAAACACTGAGAAAGTAGACTTGAAAATATGCCCCAGGCAGTTTGTTCAACAATACATCAGGGAAATTCAAGTTTGTGAACTGATTATCCAATTGCTGAACATGTTATTTAGTTGTGGACTTACTCTTACACCATCTTTATTTTGGAAACTCAATTTTCCAGATGTTTGAGGCCAGTTTTATAGGCACCAGACACATGAGGGAAAAAAACCCTTCCGGCATATACTCACTAATGCTCACAAATATTAAATTTAGGCTATACATGACATGCTATGGTATTTTTCATTATTATGGGCATCTAGCATTCTTGAGTATGTTAAACCTTGTGTTTTGAAATCTTTAAGTTATGAAATTAAGGTACAGTTTATATACTTGGTCTTGTGTAGCATTTTAGCATATAGTGATCATCTTTCCTGGGACAGTATAATGTGGAGATATATTTATAATTTAAGAACTTCATGGAAAGACAACTCCATGCCCAGCTGATTTCACTGATGAATTCTATTGCACTTTAAAATTATACTCAAAGAACTAACTTCTTCAAACTCTTTCAGGAAACAGATGAGAAGGGATTGTGGTAACCAAAATTACCACAATAGCACTATCAAAATTGTTGCAAAAAGTAAACTAGAACTGTATCCTTGCTATCATACCCTGAAAAATCGTTAGCAAAATATTAGAAACTCAAATACATAAAACCTGTTAGATTTATTGCAGAAGTGAAAAGTTGATTGAACATAGAAAATTAGAGCAATTCTTACATTTATTTTACATTGCAAAAAAAGCTATAATCATTTCAATAGAAACAGAATAGTGTTTGTCAGAATTCATCCATGAAATAATTGCTTAGCAAATTAGGTAGGAATAGTAGGAACTACCTTAATCTGGTAAAGGATACCTGTGGCAAAATTTTAAATCACTTTCAGTGTAAAAGACTGGATGTACTTTTACCCTAAGACAAACAAGGATAATAGCTTCATTGCCTGTATTCATCATTGTGGTAGGAGTGCTAGTAGATTTTGTAAGACATGCCATAAAAAGCATGCAGATTGAAGAGTCAGTAGTAAAACTGTCTTATTTTATGTCTTGTTGCTTCTTTGCTTGATAGTTTGGACAGTTAATGTCACTTAAACCTCGTCTTCTAAGATTTGGGCAAATAATGGTTTTTACCTGAGACTGAGTGCAAATGAGATAATGTAAGAAGCCTAAATAAATATTGATTTTGGTGCTATCATTAACAAATACCACTATCATTAAATTTTCTTAGCTTATATTAAGTGTTTTCCAAGTGCCAAGTTTTGCACTGTAGGATTTGTAAGGCCTATAGCATTTCATACTCAAACCTAGGATGAAACCTTCCCTTCACATGTGAGGGAACAAGCTTTTATGAGTGCGGTTGTTTCCCAGGACGCAATACATGTTGGGATGTGCATGAGCCCCAGTACTTACTGTGTTCCCTACATGAGACCATTTCCAAGAGGAATAGGAAAGACTCACCAAGGGGCTTAAAAGTTGAGGGCTAGCAAAGAAACCTAGCCGATTTTAGCTCTTTGAAATTTGTAGGTAGGAGCCAGAGAGAATGAACAGCAGAGATTGCAGAATTATTTTGGGGAGTCTTTGTCTCAGGTGGTGAATGGAACATCTAAAACCATCCAGCAATATCAGTTATTGAGTGCCTGCTGTGTGCTCCTGAAATTCCCCTGATTTGTGCATTGTATGAGACATCATCTCTAGAGAAATCAAATCCAGTCCTACGGGCCTTGCTTCCGCAGTGGGCTGTTTGCATCCTGGATCTAGGAGAACAGGGTTCCTCACACTTGTAACAGCCTGTCACGTGCAGCTGTTCCTCCTTGTTATTCCAGTGTAATATTCTGGAAATGGGTACAGAGTTCCAGCTCCCACTGTATCCTGCCTAATCTTGCCTATCACTTTGACAACCATAGGCTTACTAGGGATGGAAAGTATATAGACTAAGGCTGAGAACTTCTAGCCCCTCTCCCACACAAGCCATCTAACAGACTGCAAAAAACTATCCTTGAATAAGCAATTTTCATTTCCTATGATATAGGAAACAGGAAAACAGAGCATCACTCTGTGTAGCTCACAGCTGGTGAGTTTGCATTGGCCTTAGGGCTTCCAGTGGTCATAAAGATTATTCCTGCGAGGTCATAAAGGAGGTCAGAGTGGAAGGACTGCCTTTGCTAATTGCACAGGAAGGAGAAACTGAATGAAAAGTGTTACAGAGGAAATCCTGGCTTAATGACATGGTATATAAAGCTGGGTGGATTGTGAGGAAAGGAAGTGTAATTTATAGGAAGTGGCCTTTTATCCTCACAAAGACCCAGGTTGAGCCTACCATAAATCTAAATTCCCCTGACATAGCCATGATTGTGTTGGTAATATGTTAAAAGACAGATGTATCTATTCTTTTATACTCTACTGATCCCACCAGGCCAACCCTGAGGAGTTAACAAGACTTTGCCCCTGATTATGTGCAGTGAACTTCATAGGCACCTGTCTAGTTTCATTTTTTTCCCCCTGAAAGTTACATTCTTAATTTAGAAAGGAAATACTTTGTTGAAAACATTGAGATAAGCTTAAAATTAGTTAGAAAAGTTAAGGTTGCTTAGCATGTTAATTTGCTTAGTTTTTAAAATTACCTTTGCTACAGAGTTGTTTGTATAATTTGATTTCTTAACTTTTCTCTCATTTAGTTGGAAGATTTCTGGGGTACTCATACTCTGGTGATTTTCTCAGATGTCTCAAGTATGCTCTCATATTTATAATTCGAGTTTTTCAAGAATATTGGCTATTTTGAAATATTTTTAAATTGTTAACTTGTATATAACATTAAGAATTTTTTTTGTTTGGTTAGTTGTTTAATTCACTATACTTTTTTTCTGTTTATTTTTTAACAACCCAGAAATAGACAACAAGAAATATTACAAGTATAGCAAAGAGAAGACATTAAAGTGGCTGGAAAAAAAGGTATGTATGGTTTCTCTCTAATGCCTTTTAAAAAAATTCCTTTAAAAAAGAATCTATAGGTAAGGCAGAAAGACTGAATTAAAAAACTACCCTGTATGTCCATTGGAAAGAGGAAAACTAAATAGAGAAATCCGAGATTGAAAAGCAACTCAAAAATACATAGGCTTGTTTTTGTTTTTGTTTTATTGTTGTTTGTATTTTTGACCTGCACTGTCCTTTTTCCCTTGTCTCAGGACAGGACGAAAGGGTCTTACGCTGCTGAGATAGTGCAGGTTTGAGCCTTCCAACTCAGTACCAAGACGTTGCTGCCCTTAGCCTAGTGGGTATCTCCTAGGAGTGTGTTGCTCACACAGCCAGGCAAGGGATGGGCAGGGGGTTTGTGGACTAGGAGAAAGCATGTCTTCAGTGTGTGGAGGCTGAAGAGGGGTCTCTCCCGGGAAACCTTGATTCTTAGAGATTCTGAAAATTTTGAGTTTATATAAAATCTGGAGCTTTATTTTTTTAAATCAAGTTAGTAAATCACTACCAATATCTCTTGGAATGGGATGGAATAGAATGGATTAAAACAAGACAGAATGGATGAAAATGCAGCACAGAGTAAGGGTGAATATTAAGGATAGCTCTGTGAAGTACATATTGAGATATGTGTCTGAATGCTGGCTTGCAGAATATTTCTTAGGATGGGTTGTGGTTTAAAAAACCACCACCACCATGTTAGAAAAGCTGATTTCCTCTGTCTTATTTTGTGAAAACCATGTTTGCTTGTCATATGATATTACTGATACTGGGAAACTAGAAACAGAAATGAGCCCAGTGGAGTTATTCAGGCTCTTCATGAGCGAAGTAGTGAAGGATTATAAAAGGGCACCACATTCCATTTACAGTAGTGCTTACAGTGGTGGTGTTTGTGCAGGTAAAAATTCTGAACAAAACCTTGCCGTTTCATGTTTGCTTTTAAGAAATGATAATGGCATGACTAACAGAGCTAAGTTTATATTTATTACGTGTCTTAAGAAGTAGGAAACTTTTTTCTGTTGGCACATACAAGCTTTGTGCCATTTTATGAGGTAAGTGCTGTTTTTATGCCCATTTCACAAAGGCACGGAAAGTTTGAGTTAAAGGGTCCATGATCACAGAGCAGACTCAAGCAGCCTGACTGGAGTCAGGGCTCTCAGTCACAGTAGGTCGCTACTCATATCAGGTCGGTCCTTGGAAGTCCTTGTGTTGAGATCACCCAGCAGTGTTGCTGTGACCCAGCCTCTCACCAAATGTGCAGCCATCTCATCTTTTGATACCTGGTGAAGATATTCATAGGTTCTCACAGCCTTCTTTCCCAATCTTAAAACGTATTGAGGGCCATCTATCTGGAAGATCACAGTTTCTGAAGTTAAATTGAAAATACCCTGATTTGCCCTTGTGGTTATTTCCTAGGTTAATCAAACAGTGGCAGCGTTAAAAGTCAATCGTGTCAATGTTGGTGCCCGGGTGCAGTCAGCTGCATTTTTCTGTAGTGATCAGATTCTCAGTGACAAGGAAGGTAAGTGATTTTGTCTGAAATAATTTTAGTCAGGGAGAAGTTGCTTAGGTATAAATAAATGCCTGTCTGAGGATTCCGAGCTCATAATGGCACAGAAGCTTTCTATTCTTGTCCATGTTCTCATAGACATTGGAGCAGGTATGCATCTTCATTCAGAATCAAGCAGTGTTGCTACTGTAGGTCACTTGTGTCGGGAATTGACACTTGAATCATTCATTCAGCAAGTAGTTATTTCACACAAATAGTGACATCAAATCTAAGACACCTGGCTGTCATTTCCTGAGAACAGGTCCTGTGCCAGGCCCTTGGCAAAGCTGGAAGTATTCGTGTGTGATCTCTGACCTTCCTAGGAAGTCTCATGAGAGTCAGGGCTGTGTCTGAAGTCACCCAGCTGTTCTGTGGCAAAGCTGAGCGATGCTGGGGCTTGACTTGCTGTAAGCCCATACTTTTCACCTTTTTGTTGCATTGTTCCCTTAGCACAGGGTTTCTAGGAGCTGCATCTTTTTCATCTTATTCTCATGAAGCACATTTTCTAAAGTAACTCTCAGATTTTTATTTCAGATGCAAACTGACTCAACATGGGAGACAGGGGCTTAAGGTTTATTCTCTGCTTTTTCCAGTATAGTAGCCCCTTATTTTTATATATACAGTTAAATAAAAAATTATGTAATTCAACTGAAATTATCAAATGATGGGACAGAAATTTTTCTGACTTCAATTCAGTGTTTCCTTTCTGTATATATTCAGTTTGCACAACTCCCCGTGTCTGAATACAGCCATTAAAAATGAGCATGAGGAACAGCGGCCTGTTTGTGATTGGTAGTAATTCAGGCAGTCTTTGATTTGTAAAAATCTGTTTTATGACACCTTGCTTGTATGCCTAGCTGCCTCTTGCTGTTCTAGGAGTGGTGGACAGCATGCTTGCCATACCAAGTTCACCGGTGTCACTGTCTTTAACTCACATTAACAAAAGGCAAGAAAGAAGAAATGAGTCAATTGAGCAGATGGTTGGTTGAATGGACCACAGAGCTATTGTGTTTGTTTCTTTGTTTGTTTGTTTGTTTTTAAGTAGAAGAGATATTAGAGGTTAGACAGATGTCACTTCAAAAAATGAAAAACTGAGCTGGGCATAGTGACACATGCTTGTAATCCCAGCACTTGCGTGGCTGAGGCAGGAGCATCAGGGCAGGTTTGAGATCATCCTGGGCTACAAAATGAGCTAAAGGCCAGCCTGAACTGCATAGCAAGACCCTGTCTCAAGAAAGACCAAAAAAAAGGAAAGAAAGAAAGAACAGTTGTGATCTTAGAAATCCTGATGATGAGAAAAGTCTTGTGCTCTAAATCTAGTCCTTTTACCTAGACTCCACATTTCGAGTTCTCTGGGTTACACTGCTGTTGAATATCCCAGCCCCAAAGTAAGTTACACAGTTCACCACTATTCTTTTCTTAGATCTCTGGTTTGGTGTGGTAGCAGAAGAAGCAAATGAACTGTATCCTAGCTTTCTTAAAATAAGTTTCTTTGTTTCTTCATGAGTAGTGGATAATTACTGTCCTAGAATCCTAAGCACATTCTAAGACAGGCCCAATGATAACATTCAGTTCTACATAATAGTGAAAATCTCCTACTTAAGATTTTGGGATCAGGTAATCACCAGACAATCGTCATTTTCTAAGTAATATTGAAGCATATTGTTACCTTAGCTTGAAAGAAGACCAGAAAGCAAAAAAGGAAGAGAATGAATATCCTAACAGCAAACTTAGAATTAGCTTTTGGAGGTTCATGTCCTCTTGTGCTTATCCCATCTCATGGTTAAAGCTTGATTGTCCCTCAAACTCTATACACAATTAAGAAACTGCATTTGGAAACATATTGTCTTGCATACTGTATTTAGTTCATGTCAGAGCTGCATTTTTGTACTGAAGGTCCAGATGCTCTAGAATTATACATTTCACCGAGTAAGTTGTTTCTTATTTTTTAAAGACATTTTACTAGCTGGGAAATATCTATAATGTTTGAGATTTTTAAAAAGCAATTACCTAATAAAAATATAACAATGATTTTATTATTTCATGTTATTTTATATGAGCATTCTCATTACTTTGAGTAAGTAGATTTAGTCTATATCAAAGTAGACTTAGAAAAGATTAACCTTAAATGTAACGTGGATGTCTCATATTATAAAGCTCATTTTAAACTTTTATTTGTATATTAGAGCCTCTGCAGAAAACAACCCTGAGGTTTTTTTTTTTTAAAATACTGTCATTTGGGGGTCTAATGTGCAATCATATTATATTTTTAGTATCATCCTGTACTCTAGCTCATTGATCACATTTCTTCTCTACTCTGACAGATAGCTAAGAGTATCTTCATTTTGCTAAGGCTTAGAGCTCAAGCTGTTTCCTAAAGCTGTATAGAATGATAATTTGAACTCAAGTCATTTTGACTATAAAATCACCATATTTACTATGAATTTTTCTCTTTTACTCTTTGTTCTGTTTCTTTCAGAGGACTATATTTGTTATGCCCATGGTTTGATATCTGATTACATCCCCAAAGAGTTAAGTGATGACTTATCTAGATACTTAAAGTAAGTGTCATTCAGCCTTTGCTTTTTGATTTTCTAGCAAAGAGTTTCTCTATGGTTTTTATATTATTGTTTGTGATGAAAATTTATTCTTAAGCTGTGTCATACACTCTGTGGATTGGAATGAATTATTTTAATAGACTTTGGTTGGAATGAATTGATTTGGTAGGAACTGATTACAACAACTTTGTGTCCTTTGTATGATTTTAGAAAAGTATGTCAAACTTTTATCCCCAATGAAACTTAATTAATTTTGTTCTTTGCAATCATTTTAAAAGAAAGAAAAATGAGGTAGTGGATGATATGTAGAATATTTTGGAAGGTTACATTTAAAAATTTTTTCCATTTTTACTATTATCATTAGATAATCACTAAGTATCTTTATAATTCTGACCACTCAAAATTCAAAGTCATTTGAAAAACTGTCCTTGAGGGATGGAAGAATCAACCCAAGAATAACTTCATTTGTATTCCTTCTTTTATAAAAAAATTTTAATATGGTATAAGAACTCTACTCTTGTATAGCATAACTGTGTTTATGGTGAAGATTTTAGCAAATGTTAAGATTTTTTATGTATGATGATTTAATACCTTTTCCTGATCCTTACACAATCCTGTTTTCTTCTTTCATATATAACAGATAGTAATAGGTACAGTATCTGTTTATAGCGAATTGCGTAGGTTCTACTTTACAACAGTGGTTTCTATAGTTGTTGAAGCGTGTCAAAAGCTTGTTACCATCCCCTATTTAATATTCTGTTGATTTCTTGGCTGCTTGTCCTGTTAGCTCTCTTATGTTTCTGTAACCCAGTGTTTGTTTAGAGCCTTTCCCTCCACTAAAATTTTTAATTTGTTGTTAAAAATTGTGAAGAGAGATCCAATTTAACTTGTTTTTAATGGGAGAAAAGGCAAAGTTTACATGACTTTTGTCAGTAGTTACAATCATTTTCATTTTTAAATAAATACTAGTACCATTATTTATAAAGAAACATTCCAATGCCAAAATACAAAGTTAATTTTATTTTTGTGTTTGATAATTACAAATAAGGTATTAAGTAGTAAAATGATTCATTTATTTATAGAAATTTTATGTTTTACTCTGGAATAATGGAGCAAGAAGATCTGTAGAAACAATGCTATTAATTCTTAAATGGGCCTGTCTCTGTTTGTGTGTCTATGAAAAACCATGACTATGATTCTAATTTTTAAACTTCTTTAGGCTTCCAGAAACTTCAGCTCCATTGCCAAACCCTCCGTCAAAGGTAAGAAATTATGACTAAACTATCTTTTGGAGACATGGGAAAATACCATTTTTACCTCATGAATTTAAAATATTCTAGTGGGCTCAGAAAAAGGATACAGACCCTTTAAAATTTAGGAGAAAAATGACCTTAGCAGTCATCTTAACTGTTTCAGTTGGTACCTAAGTGTCTCTATCAGTTTAGCAGCTAATCAGCCACCTGCGTGGGGCTGCCCCCAGAGAGAGGGACCACCTCAATCCCGTAAATAGAAGACCCCTGACCATACTAGGCAGTAGTTACCCAGCTCCCCACCCCCCAAGCGGCTTTGTGTCTTCTTTACTCTCACTTTGTATTATCATCTGACTCCTCTTCCTGTTTCTGTGTCAGTGAGAGGGTCAGTCCCAGAAAAATTCAATGGCGGGCTCATGACCCCGGCATGACACTTGTGTTTTAAAGCTTACACAATCCATTTTGCATAGAGCAATGGTAGCGTGTGTGCCCTAGCAGATTTTTGTATAGTTGAAAGCTCTAAAAGGTTCACCATTACTGGCACAGAGTGAATATAGACTGAATATATGTGAAATATAGACTGTACTGGACTCTGTGTCAGTATGTTTTATTTTGTAGATTTTAGCTGAATGATGAAAAGTAGATTGATTTTAGCATGATACTTCTGTAAAAATATTACAGATGTATAATTAAAATGGACTTTTTTTTCTTTTTTCCAGTACAGAGATCAACCCCACTAAGCTACATTCCCAGCCCTTTTTAGTCTTCATATTGAGACAGGGTGTCACTAAGTTGCCACAGCTGGCCTAGAATTTGACATCCTCTTGCCTCAGTCTCCTGACAAGAGGAAACATATACACCACGGCACATGGCTATAAAATTTCCTTGAGTTAGGAAGATCACTTAGTGAATTTTACCAATAACCTAGAATGCTCTCAATATACAACTATCACATTTTGCCAAATCTAATTGTCCCTGGACAAAGGCACTCAGCGCACAATTTTTGTAAAATAAAGTCCTTTGAATGACAGCTGCATTTCTTTCTTTGCACTTGGAATGATCAAGTTTCTGTGTGATTTTCGAATGTAGGTGGGACTCTTTCTTCTCTTTTAGATACTCTTAAACTGTCAACCTCAGCTTTTCTATAGTTTATGTTTATTTCCCAGAGATATAGACTAAAAAGCCCAGTTATGACCCGTACCTCAACACTGTAGTATCCTTCAGTCTAGTCCAGTGGTGCTGAACCTGTGGCATATGTGCTGCCACAGGCTGTTTGTATCATTGAATGCTCTAAATGATTCACCATCACTGACTAGATCAAATCTCAGGTAAGTAAGCCCTGCTCCAGGACAGGGAAGTAACACAGGCACCACTGATTGGTGAGGTCTTTCTCCAGCCAGCAGAGGAACCGATGCAATGAGAAATGTGCAGTGGGCACATCACAGACTTTAAAAAACTTTTCTTCCCCTGCCTTCATTCATTGGCCTTATATTTGAAAGTGGTACCAACAGCTTCAACAGCTACTACTTTGATTTTTAGGAAAAGACTAAACACTGAAAGTGCATTGGTATTAGTTTAGGGCCATGTTCAGCAGGTAGTCAAAGAAGATACATCTTTTATCATCTTGAAGAATAGCACTGGGTAAAAATTATTTCTATGAAATCTAATAAGGACCATTCTAAGCCAGACACATGTGACTAGTCCAGTAGTGAATTTCTGACAGTAGCTCCAGGGAGCAGAAAGAAAAATAATTATTTTGCTTTAAGTAGATTGATGCTCTGAAAGTATTCTTTCGTATGTTTCTTCCTCAAAAAATTAAGTATATTTCTTTCTCCCAAATACGTATCTTCCTTAGCAGTTTAGAGCACATCCATGGATTGATCTAAACTTACTGGAAGTTTTACCCTTTGATACTTTCAAGTAATGAATTTCATGTCTGTTCTCCATCCTAATTTTTTGTGTTATTTTAATTTCCAAAATTTAAATCATTTGTGGTTTTATCATTCATGATTTAGAACCAGAGTTAGCATACATTTTCTGTCAAGACTAGGTAATAAATATTTCAGGGTTCCTGAAGCAAATGGTCTGTGTTACAATCACTCAACTATCTCATAGTGGAGAAAACAGCCACAGGCAATATATAAACAAATTAGCAGGGCCATGTTTCAATAAAATTTTATTTATAAATCGAAGGCCAGCTGGATTTGGCCCTTGGGCTGCCATTTGCCAAACTTTGCCTTATATCTCATCATCTTGTTCTTCCTAAGCCTCAGCTTTATCTCCTGGATCGTGTTTCTTGTTTGTAGAGGTCTTCTACTCTAAGAGTCTTACTTGGGTTCTGATGTACACAGTACAGACTTTACGGTGTGGTGTGCCATAGTCTGAACAAATGCACTCTTATCTTCTGCTAGTCTGTGTGTGCCCAAGATTTGATTTTTATAGTGATACACTTGATTGTTTTCAGGGAATACCTTCTTGCAATCTGGAGATGTCTTTTGCATCTAGCTATTATGGTTAGCATGGAGCTGACCATCCTTACTATGTTTGGGGGGGGCAGTTATTTGTTTGTTTGTTTTTGCATCATTTTGCTTTAGTAGTCCACCCTAGCTGAAGCTTAGCTTATCCCCCTCCCTTACCTCCTTCAATCTTGTGACATTTATTATATCTGTCAGCTAGCAGAGCTAAATGCAACCAATGGGTTTGGAGATACTCCTACATTGCTTCCTACAAACCATTTGTAAGAGTGGTAAGACCAGGCCTAACGTTAATTCCTACTCTGCTCTTTGCTCTTCTTGGTCCAGAGTTACACTCATTTAGTGATGCTTCTCATACCATGTTTCTGAGCCACCTGTCCATTTCTGCTGAAATAGTCTCCTAATCCAGAGGAGTTTGATCTTTTAAATAATCAAAATATCAGTGACTGTTTAAGTCCTGTACTTTCTAAAATAGAGCTAGCTATATGCATTTTCTTTATAAACACCTAATTCATGTGTTGTTTGGTAGTGAGCTATTAAAACTCCTGACCAAAGCATCATACTTATTAAATGTTTTATATTCATATATAAGTAATTTCATCTTAGGTTCTAGCTGTCACATGCCTAGGTAAGTCTGGAATCTCCAGTCCATAGTTGAATTTTCAGTACTCATCTCTCTCTGATGCATGAATAGGAAGAGGAGTCAAAAGATAGTACAAAGAGAGTAAATTTTATTAAAGGAAGAAAATCCATTCTGAAAAGTTGAGAGGGGGGCAGAGCTGGGTAACTGCTGAGTACTGGGCAATGGTCCTGCTTTTATGGGGCTGAGGTGATGGTCCCTCCCTCCGAGGTTGCTTACCTAATTGGTTGATATTTTTGTTTTTAGGCTGATACAGCATGTTGTGGTGATTGTAAAATTAGGGTGGGCATTGTTACAAAAACAAAAATGTAGACTGCCTGTTGTTTACATTCTGTGAACATTGCAGAGGTTGTTTTTCTCCTAAGCTCTAAAGGGTCCATGTTCTATTTCTGACCCTACCTAGGGGATTCCATCTGTCCCTACATCCCTCCCTCTGAAAATGATCATCCAACTGCTGTTGGGGTTAATATGACAGCTGCTGTGGCTGAAAGAGGGTGTCTTGGAAGATGTCTATTAGGAGGTCAGTCTAAAGATTCATGGTAAAAGGAAGGAGGAACCACCATGGTTGCCTCCATCTGGAGGACCATTTGCATCTTGATAGCATTGATTCAGTCTGAAATGAACTGGGAAAGGCAGTTTAGTATAAAAGGGTCAAACTGACACAACAAGAAGATAGCAACCAAGGTTCCAAAAGGGGAAGGAGTCAGGTAGATATAGAAGGAAACAATATTTTAATCAGAGAAAATTTGGATCACCAAGGAGTCCATGCCCCCACGGTCATGGAGCTACTTCATCTTGTCCAGAATGACACTAGTCTGAGTTTTAACCTATTGAGAGATGTTATTACAGGTCTAGCAGGTTCCATTAAAAACTGCACAGACATCTATGATGGGCCACCATCTAGTCTAATACTTGTTTATGTTCCAAAGCTGTATATGCCAGGGAGTCCAGGGATCATTAAGGGTCCTGGAAGTTACTACTAGTTAACCAGGCAACTTATGGTACAGTGGCAGAGAGGTTTGAGATTTGTACAAAATAGGCCACTATTCCCTGTTAGTTCCTTGAAGGCTGCTATGAATGTCATGTTCCTTTTTTATTAATTTTTTTTTTAATTTTAAAGAGAATACAACAGAACAAAGCAAATCAGAACAGAATAGTGCAAGCAGCACAGCACTTCACAACAAGACAACTGGACATCAACAGTGGCTACCATAATGTCTTTTTGTTTTCTTCTAAATAGTTGACCATACCTTCACACACAATAAGAGCAAACGTAACAAAACACTGTAAAACCATTCAAAAGAATGAAAGCATTATAGGACTTCAAAATCAGATAACAGGAAATGAACAGTGGCTACTGTAATATCTCATTTGCCTCAAAAATTTGTCCATACCATCACAAATAATAAAATCAAATAAAACAAGATAGAACCAAAGCATGTATAGAACTTCAAAGCAAGATGATAGGAAATCAGCAATGGCTACTATAAAAAATGTCTCATTTTATTCAAAATAGCTGTTTATACCATCACACATAATAAAATCAAAACAGAATAAAACCAATTAAACAAATGAATGAAAGCATTATAAGACTTCAGAGCAATATAATAGGAAACCAAGATTGCCATAATATATCCCATTATATTCAAAATAGCTGCCAGACAGGAATGCCATGATCCTTAAGGCTATGAGAGTGATGGGTTCCCTTCCATGTTAAGAAAGTCTTTTTATTCCTTGCAGTCCTGAAGGGCAAAAAACCCTGCTGCACAGAGGTCTGGCTTAAACCCTGTGTACTATTTAGAGAGAGTCACAATTTTATTAAGCCCCAGCTTCTTCTACTCTCATGGAGCTAGAGGCAATGTAATCCCCAATATTGTACAGGGTTCTCATCGTGATTT